CATGTGGTGAGTAGGATAAGATGTAAACACACATAGGCTCATATCAAAAGTAAGGGTTGATAAGTGAATCATTAACAAGGTCAAAATGTGACTCAAGAAGAATGGATAAATTGGCCTGTCCACAAGCTAAAACAAGGTATATAGGTTTAACATAGTAACATATACTACAAATTCTAGGATTCTAGTAAGAAGTCGTAACCACTATAGTTCAATCGTGTAGTATGTTAGGCTGTTATTCACCAAAGTCAAAGAAGGCCACTTAAAGTTGCGAATGGGATGTCGATTCATTCGTCCAAAAGTTAGGCGTTCGCACATAAAACCGAAGATCTCTGGTTCGATCTTTAGTACAGTAGTGGATGCATACTGTTGAAAAGTTCATATTACTAAGACTAAATATCCGTCCAACATTTCTTAGTTTACAACTTGTGTCGTACATATTTCGGTTTATGAATATCAATAACACTCAATGATATCCACAAAGTAAACTTTTGTACATCCAAAAGTTTCAATAAAAAAGCCATTTTAAGTTTCTTTTAGTAATAAAATTACAATCAGATTTCAAAACAAAAGAATTCTATCGTACAGTGTCAATACATGTTGTTGTATAGTTCTCATCTTTTACATTTTACATTATCTTCTTATCATATACACAAATTGAATTTTCATTATTGAGATCTAATTATTCTTCGATGATTAATTAAAACATAATATGATTTTAATAGTTAAGATCATGAGTCAATTAAAACTAGACCAGCATGAAAAACCTGGAAGCATTGAATGGTTGTTTCGTCCTATTGTGGGACTCCTCAACAGTACGCATTCACGACTCCACCTCGTAAGATTCGAACTCAGGACCTATCAGTCTCGTGCACGCGCGCGAGCGAGCGACGATCAACTGACTCATGATCTCAACTATTAAAATTACTAATAACATCCACAAAATCCCCTTCTGATAATATTATTTATCATTAAAATTATCAAGTTTATTATTAATTGAATATTAAACACTGGTTAATGCTTTGTTGTTTATGCATTCTTTCAAATTCCTGTTTATGTAGAACAGCAGGTTGGTCGTCAGCCTATTCTCCATTGAAAGTAACAGGCGTAAGTAAACAATTAAGTAACAACAGCAGGATTACATTTTAAAGATACCTAAGAAAAGATAACAATTTTGAATATAGATTGAGAAGAAAAGCAAGTAGTATATAACACAAAAGTTTAGAGTGAAAATGAAAAGAAGAAGAATAAGAAATGACGCAAAACAATGGAGAATAAATGTTTTCTTAATTCGTTGTTTCTTTATTAAATAATTGATGTAGTTATCAAGATTGTTACTGTTTCATAATAAATATATCTTCGGTGGAATATCTTGTTAAATAGTGTTATATTATAGTGAACGAGAAATCAGATGGAGAAGATCAGTATATCGTTTAATGAATAATTACAATGTTTTAATAAATCATGAAAACCATGCATTGAATACTTCATTTGTCTATCTTCTATCAATTGTCCATTACATCCTTCATAGTTTTTTTTCAATTCTCAATTCCTTTACGTTTCTCGTTCTGTTTTCTTCAATTTGATCTTATCAATCGTTTGCTGCTAGATATTCCGCTTCTGATTGGTGTTATATACTACTTACGTTGATAGACATAAGTGTAGCATACACCAAAATACGACTGATAGCAAGAAAATGTTAAGAGAAATTTAATGAAAATTGAAGTAGGTAGAAGTAATTCTTTTGAAAAATTGTAACAATTAATGGTTATTTGTTGAGAACGTCGATCATCATAACTTTACGTTGAATTAGGAAATGTTCAACATCGCCTGTTACATTTTTTGTCCGAGGAGATGTAAAAATGTAAATTGAATCATAAATGGAAAATTGATTAAAATCACGAAATGATCAATGTTGAACCACCATTAAAAACCTATAAGCACTGAACCGCCGTTTCTCCTCATAATGGGACTCCTCGACAATACGTATACACGATCCCACACGTGGGACTCGGATCCATGACCTTTGGTATTGTGTGAACGCTTAACTTCTAGACCACTGAGTCCTGTTCCGACGGTGTGAATGTCTAACTTTACTCAATCCATGGTGTTGCGCGACCATCTTCAGATGATCTGGTTGTATACCCACTGACACTCGTTAGCTAGCCATCCACGCAATCTTGGGGGAACGGATCCCGGTTGTCATATTTGAACCCGAAACTCTAAGCCTTACAGTCTAGGGTGGACCTTAGTTGATCCCTCGTATGACAGATATATTTGCACTGATAAGTAATCAGCATTAGGAAACACTGATTACTTCAAGGTTGGATCAATTGTGAATCCATCTTAATCCTATAGGATGTCAGTTTCGGCACGCACAGCTGAGTGGTCACGTCTGTGACTGAGAGGCTGACTAAGACAAGATCAAACCTCTCAACAAGCACCAGTTACTTCAACGTTTCGTGTACAACTTGCTAACCAGTGCCAGTTAATACGAAATGTGAGTCCTGGGTTTATTATCAATTACCCCCAACTAATACCTTATTTCAACGCATTAGTTGACTGATATCATGCCATCAGTCATGATCTTTTATTCTGTGGTCCTTAATAGTTACGTCATTAAAGTAAGAAAGATGGGTTTACCTACTGATTTCATCGAATCATTATTCATTATATCATAGTAAAAGCGACATTGAAATATTGAAGCTAAAAAAATTACATTGATTATTACTGAACGACCAATATTTTTTAATTGAGCAAAGTGAACTAGAATATGGCTGTTAATCATTCATTAGGATGATCTATGATAGCATATAAACTAACCAATGATCGAAAGAAGTTGACTAACTACATACTTGGTAATATTATAGTACAATTTTCATATGAGTGAAGATTACAGTCTAACTGTAAACTGAATAACTCTACACTGAACTACTATTGTGGTGTGCACTACTTATTGTGACAGATATAAGTAGTATGTAGATAGAATTGGAAGTAGAATACTTATAGGCAGAAGAGTGAAATAAAAAGAAATAGAAGGAAATTCAAAGAGCAATTGGAATAATAGCAAGATTGAAAGAATAACGAAGTATATAAAGGAAAAATGAAGGAAAATATACAAATGGTGTATAGTTAATGTATGATTTTCATATTTTACAAACAAACTGTGTAATTTAGCATAAAACGTTAAAATGGGTTTTCATCACCGTGTCTTCGTTCACTACCTTAGTAATATAAATTAATATTACCATCTAACTAGTAGAGATATAAGCTTAAAAATGAAATTCTCAGACATCAGCCACTTAGACTCATGAATTGGTTGAGGCTAGACATTAACACTGTTGGATGCCAACTCGGTAATCTAGAGGTTATGCGTTCGCGCGCAAGACTGAAGGACCTGAGTTCGAATTTAACAGGCGGGATCGTGTGTGCGCACAGCTGAGGAGCCCCACGATAGGACGAAACGGACGTCCAGTGCTTTCAGGTTTTTAATGGTAATCTAACATCAATCAGTCCATGATCTCAATCAAAAGTATGTTAAACTTTTAACCGAAGACAATGAAAAAACAACCCGATATTTGAGTAAGCTGATTGGAATACATGATGTTATCAGTTATTGTATCAAAAAAGACCCTTCTCCTTTATCCGGGCTTAAGACCAACAATAGATTCAAAGGGGCTCCAAGAAGAGTTGGACACTTCTTATACCATTATTATTATTGAGTTATTTCAAGCTACAAATAGTTTTTTTCGACTGGATCAAGTATCTGAGTTCTATAACTTGGGATATCAACAAAAGCAAAAATTAAACAACGTATTAAAAAAATAATTGTGTGAGAATAGCTATTCCATACTGTAAAACCACTGATGTCGAAAATGTAGACCATTAGGCAATTATTCAGTAGTTTACTAAGTATCACATTAACATTTAATTCAGTTTTGTGTATTATTCCAAGGGTATACTATTGTTATCTTAGACTCGGACGAAATAGTCGTGGACTGTACTTTAGCTTTTTATTAATCTCTACTTGTTTTTACTTAACATTTTATTATTCTTTACGTAAAAATGGTTCATGAATAAAACGTAGAATTGTATTTACTCAGATGGACAGTGGCTAGCAGTGGAATCCAGGACGCGCGTTTCGTCCTATCTTGTACTCGTCAGCTGGATGTACCTGCATCTCAGAGTTGATGTTAAGTCTGTGACTCAAACCCAACGCCATTCGCTTCAAAAGCCACCGCGTTATCCACTCAGCTACTGAGTCCTAACTGGTCAATTGTAATCTTTAACCTCAATGGGAAGATACAAGCAAAACAATACCAAGTGAATTTGTATATACTCAGTTATAGATTACTCTTTTGGTTATTATAAACGTTTATGCTGTTATGAATTTTATTATCTTGTGATGTAATACTAATTCAATTGTATTATAGATTATGTAAAATCTATATGAAGCCTATTTCATGCAAAATTCTCAAGAGAATAATAAAATATCTCTGACCATTTTGTCTATATATATACAATGAACAAAGACTTGATGGGACAGTTGTTTAACTGCTTTCATAAAATATGAGAACCATATATTAAGTACTTAATTTTAACATTATCCATGTATTGTCTCTTACAAAATTCATTGTGCTTTCATTTCTGTTGTTATTGCAGTTATTCTCTATATACATTCCTGTTCACTTCAATTTGATCTTCTCAGCCATCTGTTATCAGGCATTCCACTTCTGATTGGTGTCACATACTACTTAAATTTGTTAACATGAGTAGCATATAACACGTATAGGTTGCTTTATAAAACAAGTTGGTTAAGCGCCTGGCGCGAAACTGATAGGTCCTGGGTTTGAATCTCGCGGGGTGCGGGATCGTAGATGCGCACTGCTGAGGAGTTCCGTACTAGGACGAAACGGCCGTCCGGAGCTTCCAGGCTTTCCATGATGGTCTAGCTTCAATTGACTCATGATTTCAACCAGTAAAAAGTCTTCGATGAAAATTACTTGAAGTGTTTATAACAGCCAATACATTATTTTCATTAAAAAGAGATAAACCGATTTTTAGGGATACCATTTTTTTGACACAACGAATTTCACATTTTGAATTGATTTCTTGAATGTGTTAAACTTTCGGATCCAAAGTTATGTTGAAAAGATGGTTAAAGATAGTAGATAGGAAAGCTGGGACCTAGGTTTCATGCTATTTAATACTCATCAGTAAATTGTTTCTGTGATCTTGAGGAAACTGATGTTTCCTGATTGATTTAATCCCGTGTCATCCAGTCTCACAGTGTTAAGTGTTAACATTACTGAGGAGTTCTAAACTAGAACGAACATGCTTAAAAGATTAATCATGTTATGGTTATTAAATGAACTATTTTGAAAAAGTTTGTTGTTACTTTAACGTTAGTTTGTTTTTTATTAGCCTGTTATAGTTATTGTTTTTATTGATTATAAGAATCTAATCGATAAATTGTAGATTGTTTTCAACACATACTACATGTATGCTTTGAAGTAACCAAGGCGTAATTAACATTCTGTATCAATGTCGTCACACAATGATGTATATAACATTTTGAAAGTGTTGATCACTGAACAATCATCTAATCGTTTCAATCTTCTATCTTAGTCAAATTGTGATTTATTGAAATTATTATGTAATGAATTCACTTGATGTTGCTTTACTTGTATCTTCCCATTGTTATTTAAGACTGGAATTGATCAGTCTCATATTGGCATATGTGAATCCTGTGAAGACTGGCTCGATATTGCCTTAGATCGAATCCAAGAGTGAATATCAACTCTGAGATGCAGGTACATCCAGCTGACGAGTACAAAATAGGACGAAGCGCGCGTGTTGGATTCTATTGCTAGCCACTATTCATCTTTGTTAATAAAGCTTGTGATCTAAAGCAATATCGAGGCAGTCAGTACAGGATGCACATATGTCAATATGAGACTGATCAATTGCAGTCTTAAATAACAATGGGAAGATAATAATAAACAACGTCAAGTGAATTTAAAACTTCACCGCATTGCACGAGCAGGTGACTGTCACGACTCAGTAGCTAAGTGGATAACGTGATAGTGTTTGAAGCGAATGGTACTGGGTTCGAGTTCTAGAGTGACGAGTCCCAAATAGGATGAAACACGCGTCCTGGATTTCACTGCTAGCCACTATCCATCTTTGTTATTATGTAATGAGATTGGTTGGAAACTGCCATAAGCTCAATATATCTTACTCCATAGGTTACATTTTCATTTGAAACATTTATTCAATGATAATAGTTGGTAATAAAGAACAAAATGGACAAATCTTCAACCGACCACCTAACTCAAAATAGAATATGAAGATGTTTTTTTATAAAAAAAAATACAAGTTTTAATGAAAAGAAGTTACTGAAAGAAAACAAATAATAAGTCTGAAAAGTTTTGCTTCAGTTATTTTAATATTGAATGTACTTTAAATAGTAACATATGACTAGTGCAAATAATATTGTACATAGTTAATTAGATATTTTTGTTCAACGGTTCAACGCCATTGTATTAATCACTGAACCGTTTATGAATGATAATAGCTAGTCATGTGAAACATATTTTTTTTGTTGTCGGTATTTTTATTGGTACTAATGGTAATAAGTTATTTTATCTAGAACGTTCTATACTTTATGATTATTAGTTGGGGTTTGAGCTATTCTATCATTGATATTATGGACTAAATTTTGATAAGTCATGTATATCTTGAATGAACTACTTTGACAAAGTCATTTTTAGAAATTCTTAGAATAAGTGGATTGTGACTAGAAGTGAGATCCAGAAAATACATTTCTTCCTATTTGGGACTGTACCTACATTCCATTATTGTTGTATACAATCACACTCAAACCCAGTAGTCTTCACCTAAAACACCAGCACATTCACTTGGAGCACTGGATTTAGAGAGTTTTTAACCAGTTATTTATAGGGTTTTTGGTACTCCAGTCAACGTGGTGTGATCGAACTATCGATTGATAAAATTCCTGATGTGATCGAGGCTGTCGAATCGATCATTTACTTGTTGAACTGATCTTCAAATCTTAATCAAATAGGTTTGTGAAACAAAATCGCACTCTGGCTGACTTAAAATATATAATGGAAGTAGATTCGTTGAGCATAACGAAATATGCAATCTATGTATTATGGCTTATGAAATTATAAATGATTGATTCATATTTATTGGTTGTATGGATCTTTACATTAATTTTTATGGACTGCAAATGATCAGTCGCTTTAGGTACATGTTCATTCTGTGTGGATTGCTTCGATATTACTATTTAGTAATAAGCATTATAAGCATAAATGAATGGTGGCTGGTCGTAGAATCGAAGATGCACGTTTCGTTTTATTCAGAATTCATTGGCTTGATGTACTTTCACCCTAAAGTCTATGTTCGCTTCGGCACTCAAACGGAGTATCTTTCGATTCAGCAATTATTCACAATTCTTACAATACTGACAACTAAATGACAATATCAAGGCAATTAAGATAAGATGCACATACGCCAACAGCGACTGATCAATTGCAGTTCTAAACCTCAGTAGGAATATTCAAACAAGCAATATAAACGAATTAAAACTCACCTCATTCCAAAAGCTAGTGTCTTTCTTAACTTAATAGCTAAGTGGAAAACATGATGGGGTTCGAATCGAAAGATACTGAGTTCCGGAGTCTACTTCAACTCTCAGTTGCAAGTACATTCACTTGACTAGTCCCAAATAAAACGAAACACACGTCCTAGATTTCAATACTAACAACCACTTATCTTTGCTTATAAATAATCGATTATGATTGTAAACGTAAATTACGAAGTAGAAACAGTTGTTCATTCCTATTCAACAATGTTATTTGGAATAAATAGATTTCAACAGTTGAGATCGTGGGTCGATTGAAGCTAGACCACCATGGAAAACCTGGAAGCACTGGACGGACGTTTTGTTCTATTGTGGGACTCCTCAGCAATGCGCATCCACGACCACGCCTCACGGGATCCGAACACAGGACTTATCAATCTCGCGCCAGGCGCTTAACCAACTAGACCACTGGGCCGGCATCTAACGGTGTTAATGTCTAACTTGAACCAATCCACGAAGTTGCGTCACCCCACACCATTGTCATCAGCGAGTTACTGTCTCACAACAGACCCGGTTGAACTCCACTGGTCACTGCTTCTCACTAGAACTCCACGATATGCCTCTTGAAACCAGTCACTAGTGAGCATATGTTAGTTAGTATCAGAAGGGGTTTTGTGGAGATTGTAGTAATTTCAATGGTTTTCCATGGTGGTCTAGCTTCAATTGACTCATGATCTGAACTGTTGAAATTACTACAGTCTCCACCAAACCCCTTCTGATAATAAATAGATTTGTAAATTGCTAATTAATATTGATACATGCTACTCAACACATCCAACGTTGAATATGACAATTATCAGATAATCAATTGTAAGCGACTAATTCAATATTCAATCTAAGAGACCTTGATTTTCTGATCAATAATTTCTAAAAATGTTTTTCAGGAAGTAATTAACATGGGTATGCTGAAAGAAATTTTGAAAAACAACCTTTGGGGTAAACTAATAATCAACAAATTAATTGGAAATTGATTAGCTTACAAAATAAGTGAGAAATTATATATTGATTTATTGACTTTTTACAAATGAGATACAATACAAAACTGTCTTACAATTAAACAACATTTCAACGACCACTATAAGCTTTTTTTAATAATCATAAGCTCATTAATAATTGGTTTTGAATGGTGATTCTTGGAGTTTCAGTAAGAAGTTGTGAGCAGTTGAGTCCAGCCAATAACAAGTATGAGGCAGTTGTTTACTTATGACACTGGAAGATATTAGTGCAATACTGTAAATTAATTGAAATTTAATATGTAAAACATTGTATATGTTTTAAGTGATCTAAACGTCAAAACATTCACCTGAATACCTGAAAGTCTTGGGTTTCATCCCATTTACAGTCATGGATGAGCACTACTAAAAAGTCCCATACTAGGACAAAACAGTTGTACAGTGGTTACTGAGTTTCACTGGTTGCTAAGCTGAAGCCAGTCCGTAGTGTCCAAATCAATCAACTTGATAATAAGAATAATAGGTTTTACTTACGAGACGATAATAAACATATAGAACAATTAGTCCCTTTGATAAATGCTATAAGAAGATAATCTAACAATAAGTTTGCTATTTATCGACACCTCATATCTTAATGAGTAGCAAGGATACTAGATAACGACGCCTATTCTATAACTGAAGAATTGTCATCATTTGTATTGGTGACTTAAAATACAACTCATGACATACATTTCTACTAAATTTACCAATTACGATCAAAAATTAACTGTTTCAATTAAAATGATTGGTCAAATCGACAGAATAAACTGATCACTGAGGTTATTCAGATCATTTACCAACATAAATCAAAATCTGAAGTAAAGATACTTCCATCATAAAACCTAATAGCATAAAATGTTGATGTTTAATAAAGTCAATGAATTGTTAATTATCAGTATGGGGTTGTGGAGATTAATAAGTTTTTTATTGAGATCATGAACCGATTGGCGTTAGATCACCATTGAAAACCTGGAAGCACTAGACGGTCGTTTTGTTGGATGCTGGCTCAGTGGTCTAGAGGCTAAGCCTTTGCGCTCGAGACCGATAGCCGTGAGTTCGAATCCCGCGAATGGGATCGTGGATGCACACTGCTGGAGAGTTCCACAATAAGATTAAACGACCGTCGAGTGTTTCCAGGTTTTCAATGGTGGCCTAACATCAATCAGTTCATGATCTGGATCAAGAGTTGTTAATTGTTAGTTTTGTAGTTAGACCGAGTATAAGGTTAGCAAAGTATTGTGTTGTACAAATTGATTGACATTTTTAGACAATGACTAGCATCAAAGGTTGGGACACACATTTTATCCTCTTCTGAAAGTATAACAGAAGGATTATTTACGATGATCAATTATAATAAAGATTACTGTATGTTACATTTTACTAGCGGAATCTTTTTTCTTTGTAAAAGAATA